ACCGAGCCACCAGGGAGCGCCTATCTGACTGTTGTTTAACAGGCACAAATGGCAAATTTTAAGTGGCTCAGCCTAGTAGAATTGATTAGTAGATTCTTATAAATGACATGGGACAAATAAAAGGAGTAAAAGACATGTATGCCAAGGACAACTTCACATACAACCTTAGTAAGGGCCGAGGACAATGTGGATGCTCTTGCCAGCTGTCTGCGGGGCAGCCCTACATGTTGGCACAGCAACGGGCTGTCGTGGGGAGTGAATAAAGCTCACTGAAAGCCGTCACCTCCTTTCTCCTCCCCTCTCTCCTCCTCCCACTGAGGACCAGGGCAGGACTAGGGCAGGGGCGGGAGTGTTGCAAGGAGGGTTGAGGGGGGCAGGGAGCAAGAAGAAGGGCCAGCCCCTGGGCAGAATCAGGCATCCCCCTTCCCGTGCCCTGGCAGCCTCCCATGGGAACAGCTGAGGGTGCATGTGACACCTGTGGGCACCCTCCTGGTCTAGAGGCGACAGAACAATGGTGAACGACACAGAGTCCTCTACAGAACAGCGGCTGTAGGTTCTGGCAGGCCATCTGGGCAGATAGGAGAGAACATGCGAAGCTCAGCCAGGGGCCAGCTCTGGCAGCACCTGCAGCCTTCGTTTCTCCACCTGTGGCTTGGGAACCAAAGCACCTATTTCTTCCCGGTCCCAAGCAGGGCTGGTAGTCAGTAGGCTACATTTGTAGGTGGCAAAATATCAGGATGCTTTCACGGGGTTCCCTCCCTTGGGACCCTGGGAATAGCTCCATGACCTGGCAATTGAAGGGTTAATAATGCCAGGCACACCTGGGTCACCTGCACCTTCCCCAGCCCCCTGCTTGCTTTTATGCAAAGAGCCTGCTGTTTTCAGGTCCTGGGAAGAATCCTGGGGGGCCGGGAGACCTGAGCCCAGGGAGGTGGGACTGGGGGGGCTCAGGCAGTGAGTGGGCACCTGGATCCCCCAGCTGCTGCACCCCACAGCCCGAGGCTCTGCCCGTCTCTGCTGCGCTCTCCGTGAGTTTAGCTCCCTGTCTCTGCTCCTTTACCTTCTGCCAAGGTGGCCTGGTTTGGGATGTCCTCAGAGTTTTGTTAAATGAAGTCGCTGAAATGACTCCCCCACCCCAGGAAAACCCCAAAGTGATGCTCTCGCCCAGCTTAGCGGTGGGGCCTGCTTCCCCAGGTTCAGGGTTTTAGGGTTTTATCTGCAGCCATTAATCACCCCAAAGCAGATCTGAAGGCGCATTAGCCGGCCCAGCTGCTGCCCGCGACCTGGACCATTACGGGATTACCCTTGGCCAGCACCCCACCTCCAGGGATTACAGGGGATGGGGCCAGCGTGCAGCCCTGGCAGTGGCAGGTGACTCCATGACCCCTGTGGTGTGGCACAACCCTCTCCTTGAGCCCAGAAGCAGCGGCTCTCGCTCTGACTGCTCTGACTGCTGCTTGGGGGCCCTCCATCTCTGGGGGGAGGTCCAGCGCCCCTTGCCTACCTGCCACATGTGAAGAACCCCAGAAACCACTGGGAAAGCCCAGGGGCACCCCTTTCCCCTGCCGGTGACAAGGCGCCAAGGCTCCAAGCACCCAGGGCACACGGGCGCTGGGAATCAAAGACACCATTAGCGCCAGGAGATAAGGAGCAGGGACTGAGGACGCAGAGCAGGGTGGGGGCAGGGTGCAGGCACCCAGCCAGCCCCAGGCTGGTGGTTCCAGGCAACTCTCTGGCGGCTCAGGGCAGGCTCCTTGTCCCCTCTATGGTGGCCCCAATAAAATGCCTCCCGTGACAACCTATTACTGACTGTTCAAAAGTTGCAGAGATTCACTGGTCAAAGGCTGACAAAGACCTTTCCGAATTGTAGCAGGGAGAGCCCCCCACCCTCTAGCTGGGCACGTGGGGGCTCACAGCTGCTGCCAGGGTGGAGGTGCTGTGAAGGCCCCCTGAGGGGCTGCCCTCTGGCTGGAAGGCCTGCAGGTCCACCCTGCCAGAGAAGACCCCAGGCCAGTGCAGAGTCCTTTCTCAACAGGACTTCAGAGTGGGCTTCACCTTGGGAAAACACCCCCCATTTTAGAGCCAGGACAGCCTCCAGCTCAGGACGCTCTCCTGATGGCCTTACTTTAAAATCATTAAAGCATTTATTCAACTATGAAAGCCTTTTCTTAATTTTAAAACTTTAGACAAGACTACAATACCTAAGTGAAGACCCTCAGGCTCTTGCTCTCCTGTGCGTGTGTTTGTACTTTTTAATTCTCTCTTCAAAAGAAGGAGGGAAGTGAAGATGGAAGCAGGGAGAAAGAAGGTGTTGGAGAGAACAGATATGGCTAGCAACCTCCACCCTGAAGAAATACAGGTAGAATTTTCTTGCTTGACATTTTAAAATAGAAATAGTGTGTTTCCAGGGCTTGTTTTTTAATTCAAATTTAAAAACAAATTAAAAACATGCCAATGGTATATGTGGTTTGGTTCATTCATTTTAAGGGCTCTGTAATAGTCCATTGTTTGAGTAAACAAATGTTACCTGTGATGGATGGCTATCTGCAGCGAGCCTGGCTGACATGAGCTCCTTGTCTCTTGCCTTGTGAGCACCTGCTAGAATTTTCCCAGGAAGACGCTGGAGCTGGTTTGCTGTGCTATGCTATTTGAAAATTTTGTTTAGGACCTTAATTGTGATTGGGACTCTCTCTGCAACTTTTTGTGAAATAAAGTGTAGCATGAAAGTGTTAGACAAGGAATCACAACCACATCCTCCATCCCACATGAGAGACTTTTCCTGGAAGAAGGACTGGTTTCGCCAGCTGTCTGGGGCTGGAGCCCAAGGGCCCCAAAGTCTGGGTTTTGTTCAAGGCCTCACAATGGCATTCTGGGCACCCCTGTGTGTCTGAGACCAAAGAAAGGCCTTCAGAGTCTGGAAGAGCTGATCAGCCACGGACTCAGGGTCAAGTCTGCCTTTTACAACTCGAGGTCTGGATGAACAGACCCTTGGAAGACCTGGACAAAGGGTCACTTGTGTGGGCTTTTTTCCATGGGGGCAGCTGGTGCATTTCAGCAAACACTGGGCAGAGGCTTGTTGCTTTGAGTTAGGAAACGGCGCTGGCACTGTGTTAGTGATGTCGGAGGAGGGCCAAGCATGCAAGCAGATAGAATGAAAATTGTCACTTTCTGCCAGGGTGATTTGGGGGTGTCTCCTAGCACCCCCTTAAAGCATGGCTTCCTTAAGAGCATAGGTACTTCCCCCTTCCGTCAGCAGTTTGACTGTTGGAGAACTGTTCAGCAGTCTGGGCGCCAGCTATGCCCTCTGCCTTGGCACTGAGAACAGGTTTTGGAGGCGTTTCACCTGGGGTGGGGCGGCAGGTGCCCCTGACCTCAGGCTTGAAGCAGTTTACAGTGTGGGGTCCTATGGGGATGGTTTGAGTGTGTGTATATAAATGAGGTGCTGCTTTCAATCCCGAGTTCTGCTGCCTCTGTCCTTTGCCCGATGTGAGTTCCCAGACCCCACAGTCCACAACCCTTTACCCCACCCCCTGGCACAAGGCAGGACACACCAGTACAGGTCATCAGGAGCAACACACACCCGCCCCCCCCCCCACCATAGGAGACCTGAGTGCAGGAACAACACACCCGCGCCCCCACCCATAGGAGACCTGAGTGCAGGAACAACACCCCACCACCCCTCGCCACCCCACAGGAGACCTGAGTGCAGGAACAACACCCCACCACCCCTCGCCACCCCACAGGAGACCTGAGTGCAGGAACAACACCCCACCACCCCTCGCCACCCCACAGGAGACCTGAGTGCAGGAACAACACCCCACCACCCCTCGCCACCCCACAGGAGACCTGAGTGCAGGAACTACCCGCCCCTGTAGTTTCAGAGCTTATCTGCGAAAACAGCATGGGGGAGGGTTGGCGCAGACTTGTGACAGGGGCTGCCTGTGACAATCTGTTTCCTGCCACTTGCTGAGCTTTTGAGTTTATAAATGTTAGTTTGCACCCGATGAGCCGTGCACTGGCCTGAAAAGGGTCGATTCCACACCAGCACACTGAAGTGGGCGATGTCTCCGCTGAGCGCTCCCTATTCTTGACATTGAGGTGCCAACTATTTAAAGGAAGCCTTTCATTTTCCCTCGTTTGCTCAGGGGGTGGCTGTGGGATCTGAGTCCTAAGCTCGGGCCATCCCAGTGGACAGGGGAGACTGTGGCCTGGCGCTGTTTGCCAGTGAGGCGCAGTTCCTGGTGTGTGTGATGAGTGCCTGCTTCTAGCTCAGGTAATGACCTTTCCAGGGAGTCACCTGCCTCCATCGGCTTCCTGGCTGCGGCCCGCCTCCCTCTGGACACCCCTGCAGGTTGCCAGAGGGCATCCACTGCTTGGTGGAAAAAGTACCCTCTCTGGGCCCCACAGGGCGACTTGCCCACTCTGCTGTGTCTCCGCTGCTCTTCCCCTACCTTACTGCAGGCAGTAGGCACCCCGGGGACAAGTGGGGATCCCCACTGAAGCCTGACGTCTTGGTGAGAGACTCTTAAGAGGCTCTGACATGGCTGTCTGGCCTTGCCCACTGATGGCATTGGGGCCCCTGACTCAGGGGGTCATTTAAGACAACCCTGCATGCCCAGGGCACCCGTGCCGGGTCTCTGGCCGTCACCCCGATGGTTCCAGTCACACACATTTTTGCAAGTCGTTGTTAGTAGGAGTGAGTTCCAGACGCCATGCCACTGAGGCAGGAGGGGCCCCGGCAGCCAGCAGAGAACGTGCAATTTACTGCCCCCGGCCCCTCCAAGACCCCTCTGCACGTGCCGTCAGCCCTCATGTGCAGGTGGGAGCACCCCAATAGCAGATGCCAGGGCGCACTGGTGCGAAGGTGAGGCTGAGTCCTGAGCCTGGGCCCGATGCAGGGCTCCCGCACCCACTGTGGATGTGGGCGGCGGCCCAGCCTCTAGCGGGACCAGGGCCTTTCTGCTGTCCTGCTGACCTGCCCGCAGGCAGCGCTCACTCACCTTCTGGGACCCCGATGTCCCTGACGTGGCGCTCTTGAGCGATCCCCGCTTGAAGGAGCTGCTCATCTTCAGGGACCCCATGAGCCTGACTCAGTTGTCCTTGGAGGTGGAAGTTCAGCCCCCCACAGTGCACCCTGAGGGCCGGGCAAGGGGGCTCATAGCCTGGATGAGGCGGCAGACGAGGCTGGGGTGGCCCTGGAGGAATCTGCTGTTTTCAGTCACCCTGCCCCACTCAGCCTGGCCTGCCGGGCTCAGGGCCCCTCCCTAACATCTGTACTCACCCTTAATCCCTGCATCCCCTGAAGGTTTATGGGGGCAGATTTAGCAAATGGTGATTGAGTGTAAATCTACTTTGGAAAGTGGTGGCTGCCTAGGGTGGTTAAAAGGGGTTGGGGAGGCCCTCCCTGGTGGCGCAGCGGGTTAAAGCACTGCACTGAGAAGCTAAAGCTACTTTCGCATGAGTTCAAATCCCGCCTGCCCCGGAGGAGACCACATGGCGAGGCAGACCTCTCCTGACCCGCCCGCTGCTCCCCTCAGCAGTGTACTTCGTCGATCTGCCTGTTCTGCTCCCCGCTCTGTCTCTGGTGAAGCCTCTCACCGCCCCTGAGCCTCTGGCCTGTACCCCAGTTCCCTGAGCCTCTGGCCTGTACCCCAGTTCTGTATGTACAAATAAATAAATCTTTAAAAAAAAAAAAAAAAAAAGGGGTTGGGGAGGGGGTTTGGTGCCTAGAAAGCAATTCTTAAGGGCAGAGAGCCCCTCACAGCCCTGACAGAGCAGTGTGCGAACCCCCTGAAACAGGGCGCCCGCCTGAGTGTCACCCCATGTCTGGTTAAAAATACACATTTCTTCCAAATAAATGGAGAGATGTCATTGTCCTTAGTAAACACCCACGAACTAGGCAGCACCCCATCTAGCAAACAGACAGGTCCTGCAAGGAATTGCACAACATGGAAGATCTTTATAGTCAGGAAAGGAACGAGATTATTAGCAAAAGGGAAAAAAGGTTATTTCAAGCACAGCCACAATCACCTTGGGGAAGGGCGTGTCTCATCAGGCACATGAGCCCACACCTGCTGACCAGGAAACCCAGAGTGATTGTTGAAATTTTCCCTTTAGGGAGAGAAACCACAAGGAGATTGAGTCAAGTCTGGAGGGACTGGGCATGAACCGCTCCCTGGGGGGCAGCTGTTTGTTAACAGCAGTGAGGCCTGCACCCCTTGGCTACTGGAGCCTTCTCTGAGCCATCTGGACGCACTTTTTCTTGTGAACTTAGTGGTGAGGAAACATGAGCACCTTCCAACACGCACCTTCTGTTGCATCACCCATCCGTTCTGTGCTGGCTCTCACTGCGTGCCCCAGCTGTGTCACTCTGCCTATCTTTCTGTTTCGGGGTGTCTAAGTTGCTGCCCTACAAAAAGACCCAAAGCCTTAGGTGGGCCAAGGGTTCCACAAGGAGCCGCTCTGGGCTGCTGTGCTCCTGAGTCTACCTCCAGCTTGACCTCAAGCAGCTCATCGTTCCTGCCCACCCTCCCCGCTCCACCAGGGGTATGTGTATCACCTGCAGCCTACAGCCTCACAGAGAGCAATAGTGTTTCCACAGACAGAGAGGGGTTTTAAAAGCACACCTGAGCTATAAACCTATGAACATATTATGAATATGTATTATATGCTTTCTGGGGCCCCATCTCTGTTCTAGCAGGCAAGCAAAGCAATCTACATAGGTGGAAAGTCAGAGCAGGCTCTGTCGTGTTCAATGGAGCAGCCATGCAGGAATCTGGTGCCTGCAGGTACATCCCAAAAATGACGACCTAGGAGCCAGATAAAGATGATTTAAACAGCGACCACCTATCTCTACATTGTGGGTACGTTCTGTAGAAATCAGTGACATCCTTAACACCTAGCATCTGACCCCTCTGTGCATGGAGAGCACCCACATTTCTTTAGTTGAAGTTTACTTAGGAAATCAAAGGATCTTAATCTGCAGACAAAACCCAGATATGGCCTGTCAAGAATAACGACATTTTTTTTGCGTCGATGACTCACTGTTTCTACCTGTATAAACTGAACTCAAGTTTGGTAAGTTCGAGTATTATTGTTGGAACACTTCTCATGGGGTTAAATCTGCAGCTGATCCCCAGATTTGAATCCTCACTTTGATTAATTAATAAAATCTCATAAGCTATGTTTGTGTTTATTTCAGTGAACAAATCCATAATGCAAAATACATTCTGTGAGAGCTCACAGTCTCAGAGCAGGGCACTTGGCCTCTGGTGTGTGGCGTTTGCCTCAGGAGACCAGCACCAGCTGGAGACACAACCTCTGTCTCCAGGATCTGGCTTGTATGTTTTTAACAGTGCTCTTGGCTTCACTCTGTCTACTGAGCCTCTCTGCTAAAGTCTTCCTGTACTTCTTTAACTTTTAAGTTGAACTTGCTTATTGATTAATTTCTGAGATGTATTCTCCAAATTTTATTTTTATAACATTTGATACTGTAGATGCAATATCCCATTTCTCATTCTGAAGATTATCCATCCCTCCATCCCTCCAACCATCCATCCATCCACCCACCCACCCACCCATCCACCCATCCACCCATTCACCCATCCATCCACCCACCCACCCATTCATCGACCCACCCTCCCATCCATCCACCCATCCACCCACCCATCCATCCATGCATCAACTATCCATCCATTCATCTAGAAAATCCATCTATCCATCCACCCAGAAATGTATCATGTACATTTCTTCTGCTCAATATCTATTTATTTCTTCTCAGTGCTTTTTCATTTGATTTGGCTTGGTTTCTGTTTTGTTTGTTTGTTTGTTTGTTTTCTGTTAAGCCTTTAAGTAAATATTCTTTCTGCTAGTCCAGCAGCTCTGAGAGTGTGCCTTACCGATGAAAAGGTGTCTGCATGGACCTGGTATTTGCAGGGCTGGTTACCAACCAGGTATTTTTTCCTGTAGAGTAAATCATGCATAGAGGAACCTGCATTCTCTTCCTTGGAGGATGAGACCCTCTGCTCACGATCCCTCTCCTGTGTTCAGAATGTCACTTGTTCCCTTAACTGCACCTGGAGTCCCCACACCTAGACACTTTATGTTTCAATATCTCCAAACAGAAAGCTCCATCTTCCCCCAAGATTGGGGTGGGAAGTCAATTGAGGGGTGAAGGATAATCGAGAGGCTCAGTTGTTTCGTAGGCTGACTTGCAACCATTTCTGCTTTCACATTTTCCCAAGGGATTTCAGATGCTTCTCCCCAAAATTGCACTAGAATAAGTCAATTTGTGTATTATTAGTTTCCTGCTGAAGGGCTATGAGGTTTCAGTTCTCCCTACTCTGCTAGCTCACAAACAGAGGTAAATGAATCTGCTTTCTAATTTCCCACATGTGGGCATTTCTTGAATGCTGCCCAGAATCCTGATGAGCTCTTTGTCCTTTAAGGGCAATGTCTTGTCGTCCATTTACAGTCATTTTAGAGTGGTTTGGTGGGAGCAGGGGTTGAGAGGGAGCAGAGGTTAATGCATATTTTCAATCCCCATGTTTAACCAGAAGTTCATAGTAGATTAAAAAGATTAGTGCTTGAGGGAGGTGGGGAATTGGAGAGAGACGTTCAAAAGAAACATGACTGCATTATAAAGGTGCTTATGTTTTTAATAATGCATGCTGATGTAGCAGCATTACTGTAACGAAGTGTGCAAGTGTGTGTGTGTGTGTGTGTGTGTGTTATGAGATGCCACAGAGATGGTTGCTAAAATAATGTTAACGCAGGGTGCTGAGATTTCAGTTGCTGTTTCTTTTTTCTAAGGTTTTTGGAGAAAAGAAAACCAACGGGGAGAGACCAAAGCCCACTGCTAGGGAGGACAGTGGCGACCTCTCTGGAAACTCAGCATGCACAGCTAGGCCACCCACCTCTAGGAGGTGTTTGTGTATAGGGACTAAGAGAGCTGGGTAAGATTCTCATGGAAGCATTGCTTAGGGCACCCCCAAATTGCAGACAGTACATCGGGTGCATGGGTGGTAGCCAGTGTTATATCCATGTTCTGAGGGAGGAAACACCTATTGCAGAGTGAGGTGGCTGGAAGCGCCTCCTGGGTACACTGTTCAGTGAAAACACAAGTTGCCTATGGTACATTAATTATGATGCCATTTGTACAAGACCAACAGGAAAGTTGTTCCAAGGAACAACCTTATCTCCCTGTGAATTTGCACACCTATCTGCAGGCCCCCTCTTATAAATTCAAGGCAAATGGTCTAAGAGGGGGTGGGGAGGGGTGGACCTGAGACTGGAGTGAGGGTGGGGAGGGTAGTTAAGGTGGATTTTTTGCTTTTATTGCATTGCAGATTTTATACAAATAGCGGCAATTAGGGCATTGTTTGTGTCACGAAAACTAATGACACATGTCACTTACCTATAGTTACTCACATACTATAGATTTTCTTTTAGCATTTATCTTTCTCTTTTGAGCAAAGGGATCAGAGTTTTAATTCTAAGTATTTTTCAGTGTCCTTCGTGGCCTGCATCTGATTTGCCCATACACCTTTCTAGATGCATCTGAACTCTGCACATTTGGTGATTCTGGCAGATGTGCCTTGGTCTCCTCTGGCGCTGCTACAGAGGAGAATCTCTGAAATACAAGGAAAATCTGCTCCAAGATTCCTGATCATTTCTGTTCAGCATGAAGGGATATGGTTTCTTTGCTTAAATAGAAGCTTCTCTTGCTTTAAAAGGAAAAGGAATACAGCTTTATGGACAATAGCTAAGATCTAGAAGCAACTAAGTGCCCCATGACAGATAACTGGATAAAGAAGATGTGGTTATAGACACGATGGGATGCTATTCAGCTATAAGGGAACTTGAAAATTGCCCTTTGCAGCAAAATGGAAGGAGATTGAGGTATGAAACTAAATGAAGTGAGCCGGAAAGATAAAGACAAATATTGGATGATTTTACACATAGGAGTAATCTAAGGAAACAAGTAATAATAATCTAAGGAAACAAGTAATAATGAGTAATTGGATGAACTAACACATCCAAGCCAAAGTGATTTTGTAGACCCTGATACCAAGAGGCTGCC